GCCTCCCGCATGTCTCCTACTGGGGATTGAGCCCGAAACCTAGGTATGTGCCCTGACCGGGAACTGAACTCTTGACCTTTTGGTGCACGGGACGATGACCAACTGAGCCACACCGGCCAGGGCATACATAAGGATTTTTAAACAATGGGATGTCCAATCTGTCAGGAATGTGCTCCCCTGTCAGCACACTCAGACCTACCTTATCCTTTTCAATGACTCCAGCATTCCACAGTTTACATAACCCGTCCCCACAGATGGGCGCTCTCCGATTTTTGCTTTCGGGAACAGAGCTGCAGTAAACAAGTGTGGCCATCTCCGTGCAACTGAGCGAGTGTTTACGGGGACACACTCCTAGGGGGGGACGCAGGGCCCAGGAAACACATGCAAAGTGCTGGCTGCTGCCCTCCACTCCTGCGGCTACAGGGCCGTGTCCTCACGCTCTGGCTAACACGTCCTCTCTGCCAATCTCACCTGAAGACACCTTCTTGGATCAGGGAGACTGAAAAATGTTTTGTGTTTTCTAGCCATTTGTATTTGTCCTACCGAGAACTGCCTACTTCTACTTTTCTGCTGCGTGGCTTGTCTGGTACTGTGTGGGAAGTTTACCTATATTATGGCTTTAACATATGGTAATTATGTTAAACAATCCTCTCCTGTTTCAATTACTGAGCAAGGACGTCTTTTTACTTCCACTTCACTGATTTATTGATAAACTGAATCCATCAAGCACAGGGTGGCTGGGCAAATTCTTCCCCAGACGTCCCCCCTTGTGCCCTAAATCCCGCTGATGAAACTCCCCAGATGCCGTCACCGCGCCCACCTCGCCCTGAGGAGGAAGCTCTGAAAAACCCAGGACTTGCTTTGCAGGTTGAAAGCAGCGTGGCTCAAGGATTCGGGCTCTCTTAGTGCAGGCCCAGGCAGGAGCCTGTCCTACCTCAACAGCCTTAACTCGTCTTACTGATTTTTAGAGAGGGGTGAGGGGGAGAGGAACATCAATGTGAAAGTGAAACATGTTTTTACTGATTTCAGGGAGAGGAAGAGAGAGATAGAAACATTAATGATGAGCCGAAACCGGTTTGGCTCAGTGGATAGAGCGTCAACCTGCGGACTGAAAGGTCCTGGGTTCGATTCCGGTCAAGGGCATGAACCTTGGTTGCGGGCACCTATTGATGGACTGCCTCCTGCTAAGGATCCAGCCAGCAACCTGAACAGGTGCCCTGACAACAAAAGGAACTGGAAACCTTCTGGTAAACAGGACAATACCCAAGCTACTGAGCCACACCAGCCGGGCCCCCCCTTTAACTTTTACCTGACACCACCCACCTCCTCCTCCCCGGGAGGCACAGGGACCCAGAGCCCGTCCCTAGGAGACAGGTCTGCTCCCTGCTGTGAATCATCAGCTGTGGCAGGAGCTCCAGCAGCTGAAACCAGCAGTGAGGTCAGCGCGTCCCCTCCTGGCAGTGTATCCTGGCCCCAGCCCTTCCCGAGGGAAGGGAGCAAGGATCAGTGGGCTGTGATGGCGCTCGGGCCGCTGGCCAGGGGCTGAGAGAAGTGGGCCTGGGTGTCCTTGAAGGTGGACACAACACCATGATGGGATGATGAAGATGCTGACAGACAGTACAAGGTACCAGAGAAAACTGTCTGCACTGCTGCTGACAGTGGGTAAAGGGAACCAACAAGTGAAATAAGAGGAGCTAAAAACTGGCTGCACAAAAGTAATATTCGTTACAGTTAATCACACCAACTGCTCAGCACTAATTCCGCATTACGGTACAGCTCGATGGCGTGTACAATTAGCACCAGACAACTGAGCTGTGTGTTGTGAGTGATCATGACAATCACAGTTACAGGGATCTTTCTAGTGTGTGGCTGTTAATCAGGTGGGTCTCTTGCAGTAGTAGTGGTGGAACAACCATGACAACATGCACGACGCACGCGAATTACAGTAACTCTCACAGAGCCCACCTCCACCCCCTGGGATCCTGTCTGTTGTACAGGACGAAGCGGTGCCCGGCCCACAGTCCTGCCACAGATGAGCAGCACAGCAGGGAGTGAGCCCGGCCTGCGGCTCCAGCCCTACGGCCGCTCCTCTGCACTCCCTGAGGTGTGTGAGTGCCAGCTCCTGTCCCTGCCCTCCTCACCTGTGTAGCTGCTGGAGGGAAGCGGGTGCTCTGGTTCTCCATTGAGCTCTGCAGCTCCTTGTGTCTCTGCCACTTCCTCTTTCTCCTCCTCTTCCCGGACCTCAGGGGCTTCCTCCGGTGGCTGCTCCATGGCTGATTTCCCCTCGGCGCCACGCCTGCAGGCCCGGTCATAGCTCTGGCATCATCTGGGTCTGGACGCAGATGGACCCCAGGGCAGTTCCGTCAGCCTGGGCAAAGGGGAAGACAGGAAGAGGACGAGTGGGCGGTGGGAGTGGGGCATGGCTCAGGGCCATCGGGGGCCAGCAGAGCAGGGGCACCTCACCTGCAGGGCTCTCCCACGGTCTCCACTCCTCGCATCAAGGTTACTTCCCCTCCCACCCTTTGCCCATTGGCTCTTGCAGCAGGTCTGTGGGGCTCAGAGCAGTTCCCATCACCCAGACGGGGTGACACACCTCTCTGCTACCTTTCCCTGCCTCCTCGGCATCATCCTGCCGTTTGAGTTCCTGGAGTTTTCGGGAGACACACGAGAAAGCCTTGAAAGCTGTTCAAATGCTCAGTCCCCCTGGAGATCCTGCTGTGCATCACACCTCCCAGCCCCACCCTGCCGCACCACTACCCAGTCCCAGGATCACTGCTCTCCAAAGCCACCTTCCTGAAGGAAGTGTTAGGGCGGATAAAAGGCGTGAGCTCCCCCCGCCAGGCTCGCTCACAGCGACAGCAGAGCCACCAGGCAAGGGAGACACGCTCTGTCCTGGAATCTCCCAAACGGCGGGTTCCTAGATGGTGACCCCCATGTTTACACCACCAGGAGGAGATGGTTCTAACCCTCTGCAACTAAGATACTGTCTCGGGGGGGGGGGGGGGGGGGCATCCTGCAGGGAACAGCAGGGAGAGGTCTGAGAGGGGTGGATTTTGACCAGGGGAGATGTGGGAGGCAGCACAGTGGGGACCGGCGAGGAGTCCTGTTGGCTGGGGAGTGAGGTGCTGGAGAGAGGACCTGGCGGGGTGGCCGGGAAGGTGGGGTGTGGCCAGGCATGTGTGCTTCAGAGCCCTGACCCTGGGAGTGAGACGGACCTCATCCCACGTCAGGACAGGCCTGAAGGGCCAGGAGCAGAAAAGACCTGCTCTAGAGAGATTCAAGCATCTGTGGAACCCCTTATCTTGAGGTCTCACAGGCAGCTCAAACTCAACCTATCCCAACAGAACCCACCGTCTCCCCCCGCACTCCCCCTTCCTCTGTAACCCCGTTTTAGTGACCCACACGCCCATCTACCCACTTATCAAAGCCGGAAGGCAGAAGCCATCGGAGATCCTCCCTCTCTCACCCTGCTCCAGGCTTGCAAACTTGGCTGCACTGGAGTCACTGGGGAGTGTGGTGATCTGGATGTCTGCACTCCTCCCAGAAATCCTCATTTGATGGGTCTGGGAGCAGCTTGGACATCGGAATTTTTGTTTTATTCCCCTGGTGACTGTAACCATTCCTTCCCATCAGGCCTTCATCTTCCCGCTTGGACTGACACAGTAACCCCTCAGTTGGTCTCCTGAGGCAGTTTGGAAATCAGCCCCAGAGTCTAAGCTGGGGAGTTGGAAACCTATAGCTGGGGGCATCCTTGTTGATGTGACAGCCACAGGAGGGATTCAGCTCCCCAAGGGAGACCGTGACATATCAGGGAAGGACAGGAAGAGGCACCAGAGCAGACAACGGGGCAGTGGCCAGAGGCAGGACGGACTGGGGACAGCCTGCGTCTCAGAGCCAAGGGAAGGGCTGTTTTCAGGGGGAAGGGGTCAACCGGCTCCAATGCTACAGGGCTGTAGGGCGATAACTGATACCACTGGATGCAGTGACTGTGAGGTCATCAACGACCTCGTGAAGCAAGTGTCAGCCAAGCGGTTGGGATGGACTCCGGGCTCTGAAGAATCAGTGCTAGCGAGGAAGCTGGGACAGTGGGGGGAGGGTAATTTTTGGTGACTGTGTCAGGGAAAGAAATGTATACACACTAGACTGAGATAGGAGCAAAGCTGGGGAGAGGTTTTTCAGAATAAAGGAAACTCAAATAAGCTGTGGACAGAGGAGAGGTCTGCGGCGAAAGACAGGAAGATCCAAGGGGGAAGCCAGGGCAGGATGACTGATGGGAGGGGAATGATTCAAGGGCCCAGGATGAGGAAAATATGAAGAAGCATCATAGCAGTGTGTGTACGTGTGTGTGTATGGGGTGGGGGGTGGGGTAAAGTTCACGCAGAATGGCCTCACAGAATAGAAGATGGGACTTGAAGAAAGCAAAGGGCTGGGGGGAGGAGAGGCACTCTGGCACACATGTAGGGAATGAGCTGGAAAAGAATAAAAAGATTTAAAGGAAAGCTACAATAACTGAAACACGGCGGTACTGGCACCTGAAGAGACAATCAATAAAGAGAATACAAAAGTCTATAAATAGATGCAAACACATATGGAACTTTAGTATGTTATAAAGACAGCACTTCAAAGGGGAAAGGTGGATCCTTCAATAAATGGTATGTAGTGATCCCTACCTTACACCTTATACCAAGACAAGGCCCAAACAAATCAATGATTTTTAAAGTGAAAACAAACAGACACTATACCAATAGTCTAGAGATGCAGGGAAGACCTACGAATGACACAAAATCCATAAGACTATGGGTTAAAAGAGTATGGGTAAAGATTAGTATATCTGATTACAAAAAATATAAACTTTCTACATGGTAAAAAAAAAAGCGTAAGAAAGAAACAGATAATAAACTGAGAAAAAGATATGCAGCTCTCATTAGATAAAGGGCGAATTTCCCTAAATAGTTCCTGCAAATTAATAAGCAAAAGACCAGCAATCCAATAATAAAATGGGCCGAGGATATAAAAAATGTGTACAGAGCCCAGCAGGTGTGGCTCAGTTGGCTGAGCATTGTCCCATGCACCAAGAGGTAGCTGGTTCGATTCCTGGTCAGGGCACATGTCTGGGTTTTGAGCTCAATCTCCAGTAGGGGACATGCAGAAGGCAGCTGATCGATGTTTCTATCTCATTGATGTTTCTATCTCATTCTCTCCCTCTCCCGTCCTCTCTTAAAAAAAAATATATCAATCAAAACCTATTTTAAAAATGCATACAGAAAAGGTATACCTTTGGCTCTTAAATATGTGAAAAGATACTCATCATTATTAATAAAAAGAGAAATGCAAATTAAAACAACACTGAAATACACTTTTTAAGATCAGATTAAAACAAATGCTAACACATTGTTGCTAGGCACATGGGAAATATAATGTCACACATCCCTGGTGGAAAGGTAAACTGGCACAACCTCTACAGAAGCTGATTTGGCTACATCTATCCAAATTACAAGCACACCTTCCCTTTGACCCAGAGACACCACTTGCAGCTTGTAACATAAGCTGTACCTCCACTTGAGCAAAACAACACAATGTTTTAGTACAAGGTTACTCATTACAGTACTATTTGACTAGTAGGAGGTGGGGAACCACCTCGAAGTCCATTAACAAGGACTTATGAAACAAATCATGACATGCAAACATGTAGTTCTATGCAGCCACAAAGAACAATGACGTCATGGACTGGCAATGGAAGTCAAATACACAAGGAAAATTTTCAAAGGTAACAAGATACCATACATAGGAACATATAACTTCCAAACTATTACGGCGGAAGGGGAAATGTAGAAGTCGTGTGGAACGCTAGCTTTCTCCCTGAGAAAGTCTCATAGACAGGACTACGGAGACAGAATAACCATTGCCACAATGGATGGTGGACTGGGTGCTGACACAGAAAGGACAGTGGTGGAAAAACGGGGAGTCCAGACAGTCCCGCGGAGCTGAGTGAACGGCGTAGTCTGGACGGGGTAGGATGCTTACGTAAGACGTCCCTGCTGGGGGAAGCGGGTGACGCCCGCAGAAGCCTGGCCACTGCTCCGCAGAACTAGCCCTGAACGCCCACCTCAGACCACTAGTTAAGTGGACACATTGGAGGCCTGTTTCCATGGCGCTGCACACAGCTGAACAGTCCTCCGGGAGCAGGACAGGAGGACCCTTAGCTAAGGAGAGTGGGACTGTGGGGAGGGGCTGCTGACAACACTGGCCAAGGACCGTGGCGATCACCGAGGGCAGACTGTGACTGCGAGGAATGTACTGAACTCTCTACGTCTGGAGGTAGAAGGGCAGGGGCAGGTGAGGGAGGAGGCCCATGGCTGAAGGGCTGCAGGAGGTCTGAGTAGCATCAGAGGATGAGCAGCTCAGTGACAGAGGGTCAGACAATGTGACGTCTATGAGCCATGAGGTCAGTGGTGGCACTGACACCGGGGGAAATGCACACCAGTGGTGATGAGAACCAGTGAGTGGGGGACATGAAGATTTGGGGGTTCCCCTTAGCAGGCAGAAACAGAGGAGCAAAAACTGCAACACTGCCTTGTATAGACACTTGACAAAGCATTTTCTCACACATTGCCTCATGCCCTCTGAGTGACCTTGGGAGATGGGAACAGAGTTCACTGTCATGCCTGAATCCTGGAGGGCGGGGGAGGCACCTGCTGGGTACACTTTCAACAGGCCCTGCTCAGTCCTCCAAGCCCCATAAGGAGAGCCTTGTGTGCTCGCCTGGGCACATGAGGGAAGTGAAAACACCCAGGCCCGCAGAGCCTGACAGGGTGTCCCTGCAACACACCAGAGGATGACGTCGACGACTATGGGGTTTCGGACATAATGGAGTGGCAGCCTGGCTAGGCCTTGGCGAGCTGGGTGCCCGATACCCGAGCCTCAGCTTCTGCTTCCCCACTAGCTGGCTGGTTAGGTCCCCATGCTCAGGGCTACTGTTCTCAGAGTCTGGGGTGCACATGGTGGCCTCTTGGGATCAGATGTGGTTCTGGGTCATGGCTGGAGTTTTGGATTCAGGGCCAGGGTTCCTGATTCCAGCCTGGAGCGTCTCTCTGGCTGTGACCTCTTCAGGACACCAGCTGAAGGGGGAGGGGAGCCGCAGTCTAGTTGCTCCAGAACCCACACACATCCCTCAGGCTGTTTCTATTTAGACGCAACCACAGTACTGCGCCCATCCACAGTACTGCGCCCATCCCTGCATGTTGCCAGAAGCCAGCCACCAGCACCACGGCTGCCCCACACCCACCACTGTTCTCAGCCTGTCTGGCCAGGAGCTACTTTGACACCCCTCCCGCCTGCGCCAAGGCCCACAGGCTGGATTTTCCCAGG